CGAGAAAACTTCAAAAATATTTTAGTAACATTTTGTTTTTAAATTTTAAGTGTTTTCTATAAAACGATGCCCTCTTGGGCATCGATAACCCACCACCACCCGGCTTACGCCGCCGCAAAATATTGTAATGTTTACTATTAATATATTTATTTAAGTAGGTACTTACATATTTTATAATAATTATCTCACGAATATTATCACTGTCACACTTTCACTTCACTGCCACATAATCACTTCACTATTAATATATTTAAATACTTACATATCACATTATTCACATTATATATTTCACATATCACTGTTGCTATCACTATCACTAGAATCATCTTCACCCAAATGAATAATGACTGGTTCTATGAACACTTCTACCGTTGTATCAAGATCCCACATACGTTGTTCCTCTTTCTGTGCATGTCCAATACACTTACACCATGTTTCAGCAGTGACGTGATTAATAGCATCCTGTAATAATAATTTCACGTCGTTTATTTTAAAGGTGGTGTTTTTTCGTGCGATTTCATTCTTTATTTGTGCCCAAACCAACTCAATTGGGTTTAATTCACAGTGGTATGGCGGTAAACGGAGTACACGAATTCCTCGATCTTTGGCCATCTCATCCACTACATACTTAATGTATTGACCTTTTTCTCTTTGGACAATTTTTAATAATTGTACTTTTAGCATGGTTTCTGTATATTCAATATTTTTCGATTGTAACCAGTCCATAATATTTCCTTTTCTCCATGCTGATGTCGGTAACATTTCAACTCTTCTACCATGATAAGGTGCGTTATCCATCACAACAACTGCTCCTGGCTCCAGATATGATAAAACATATTCAAACCATTTTTCAAACACGTCTCTGTACATATCTTCGTGATAATCTCCCGTTTTTCGTGACTCAAATACATGTAAACCATTTTCTAAAAATCCCGTATCGCTTCCAATATGTGTTATAATCAATCTTCGTCCTTTTCCAGAAGGTGCCTTTAATTCAGTAGAAAATCCATCTAAAAATGCTTGTCTCTTACTCTTAACATTACCATCCTGCCAAACTTTTGATCCAGTATATGACCTTCGTTTACCCATGTTTCATCCATGTAATATATCTTCTTACAAAATAAGAGAACTCCATGCATCTGCATGAAGTTCTCTTATTTTTTCTAAGTATTCTCTTCGCCATACCACAATTTCGTCTTTTTCATCGAGCATATCATTTCGATTCCGTTTCAAATATCGAAAATTCATGTCACGCATTATTCTTCTAAGAACCTTATCAGAGAATATCCTCATCTTCAGCTATTGCAACTTGAATTGAATTTATCGTTGGTATTTCATTTCTAAAGCATGAATTTTCGTACGTATGGAGTATTTCACGTCAACGTCGACTTCTATTTTCTTCCTCCCTCGTGTTTCCACTTTAAACGATAAACAGTAGCAACGGATACTTTTGTCAACGAACTACACATATCAAGAGCTTCACTTACACTTGTATTAGAATTTCGCGACCGAATTCCTTTATACACGTTTTTTACCATTATTAATTCCGCATCGCATAGGTTAGGGCGTTTATGAGCAACATACCGTTTGCTACAACCGGCACTTTGATCCATTTTAATTATTATTCCTACGTTTTAAAATGTCTCGATTGTATTTTTTTTAATCTATAAATTTACTATAGTCACGGAATATGCAAACCCTCGCGCGCGCTTATAGTTTGACGTTTCTAACTACGGCTAACTCGAATTCTATGTACGTCCGTTTACACCCACTAAAAAGAGCATTTCCCTATCTGTAATAATTGCGATAGACAGATATAGGAAATAAATCGCGTTCAGTGTAACTCAGTCTATGACTGTTATAGATCCTATCGATGTGCAAAGAGAGCGGCACATCATTTAACATAAGCAAATANAAATATCGAAAATTCATGTCACGCATTATTCTTCTAAGAACCTTATCAGAGAAATTAGGAATATCCTCATCTTCAGCTATTGCAGCTTGAATTTTCTTTATCGTTGGTATTTCATTTCTAAAGCATGAATTTTCGTACGTATGGAGTATTTCACGTCAACGTCGACTTCTATTTTCTTCCTCCCTCGTGTTTCCACTTTTTTCTTCTTTGGATTCACTTCTACACTATTTTTTATGGCACGATAAACAGTAGCAACGGATACTTTTGTCAACGAACTACACATATCAACAGCTTCACTTACACTTGTATTAGAATTTCGCGACCGAATTCCTTTATACACGTTTTTTACCATTATTAATTCCGCATCGCATAGGTTAGGGCGTTTATGAGCAACAGACCGTTTGCTACAACCGGCACTTTGATCCATTTTAATTATTATTCCTACGTTTTAAAACGTCCCGATTGTATTTTTTTAATTTATAAATTTACTATAGTCACGGAATATGCAAACCCTCGCGCGCGCTTATAGTTTGACGTTTCTAACTACGGCTAACTCGAATTCTACGTACGTCCGTTTACACCCACTAAAAAGAGCATTTCCCTATCTGTAATAAGTGCGATAGACAGATATAGGAAATAAATCGCGTTCAGTGTAACTCAGTCTATGACTGTTATAGATCCTATCGATGTGCAAAGAGAGCGGCACATCATTTAACATGAGCAAATAATATTGAACCGTTATAAAAATCATTTTAAGTTTTATACACTTTACGGTAATAGTGTTTCTATATTATGTATGAATCACTCTCTACAATTTCGGCCGCGGAGTATAGTTCCTATATTTTCCATTAGGAAATGTGTTTTATCATTTATTTTGTGTTTTACATAAGAAATTTAATAAGTTGCATTTAAAGAGAAAAGTTTCATGTGTAATTTGTTTTTACTATTTTACTGCACAATATTCGCTGAATCCGAATTTAAATTGATTTTTTTGACGCGATTTTCAAACTGACTCATTGCATAACCCAGTAGCTACATGATCCCGTAACCTTATAACTCATGATTTCGAGAATATACGAGTATACCACGAAAGTCCGAGGAATTGAGTCTGTAATCTTGTTGTACCTCCGTAATCCCTTAACCCATGGTATACAAGCTCCTGATGTAGACCCATGATCTGGTGCATACAGATTTGTTTTAAAACCCAGCTGTTTTTCTCTTTCTATCTACACCGAAAAATCATAACAGTACATTTTTGACTGTACAATCAGTGAATTACGATCAAAATCGTTTGAATAATAGATTACGGGGTTATTAGGTTTTAAGTTTATAGGGATATGGTGCAATGAACTACCAAAATCCAATGTTTTCCAACCACCGACTACTCAAGTCGGTTTGAAACCTCGAAAACTGCTTTTTACATGAGTTTCTTGATGTTAATGGATAACATGATGACTTATATTTACCATATTTTTGTAATCGCTTCCAAAAGAAGAATAACGAGCATACTTCTGCCTAATGCTGAATTTTTCACAGAAAGAGATCAATCAACTCTCAAGCATTTTAGTTATACTGTAGTGTATGGAGCAAATAGCGTATGTTTAATGCTATTTCAGTTGAACGATACTATGTGCATCATTGGTGCATATAACTTGTTGCTTAAATGTCGATGAAGTCCACTGAAAGAGTCAATCATTCATTTTTCCTCGATTAATGCATTTTAGTAATAATGTCAGAAGTAGTAATTCTTCTTTCCAATAAAGTGCTGGTAAAATACAAATGTTATCAACAGTAATGCAAAATTTAACAAAGACAAAGTATCCAATTACATCATCAGATTTTATCAACGGCAGAAATTGAAAAAACAGAATGAGACATAGCCAGGATCAAATTTTAGAAATATGGCGAACCAAAAAGATTAATTACAAAATCGAAGAGAAACAGTTTAAGTGGTATAAGAATATAACAAGAATGTAAGAAAATTTACTAGTAAAAAAAAACAATTGAAACAAAAATAAGAAAAATGAGAAAAAAGAGGTTAGCAAAGCGTCGGAAAGAGAAAAAGATATATAAATGAAATGAAATACAAAATCTTTGATTTAATTGTGCATGAAAATCCACACATAATGTATATATGTATACAATATGTGTACTATGTATTTGTCTACTCAACGACGAATTCAAAATATTAGCAGCATTTCAAATTTATTCGTTCATGAGTACATTATGATTTTATTACTCCAAATTACATCTACCTATATTCATACACATTCTAAAGTGATCTTAAAATACTATACAATAATAATCGTTAGATAAGTATCTATAAAAAAGTATCTCCGGATAAGGTGCAACAACACTTATATGAGATGAATCAAGTTAAACTTGAAATATGGCCATTTAGGATTCAATAAGCCTTGGAGATATTTCTTTTTTATATATAAAAAAGGCCCATTTTGAGTGAGATACGACAAATTGTTATTAGGAGAATGTAGCACAGAGTGAAAAACTTAAATGTACAAAATTTCAAATTCTTATACTTCGACTATTATTTGATTTCAGATTTTTTGTGCTAGTATCTAATTAATTAATTAAATAATAAAATCTGATAATTCAAATAACTACATATTATGTAGAAATGACAATTCATTGATTTTGATATTCGCTCTAATTTTTAATTATAACAATCTACAACGATTTTTGTATTGAGAATCAACTTTTGAAATGCAATAAATGTAACTGCAATTATTTTTCTCTAAATGTGAACGTACTTTTTTAAATATATTTATTATACCTATGTCGTATAGCAACAATACGAGGACACTATTCCATAAGTTGTTTCCGTGGTGTAGTGGTTATCACATCCGCCTAACACGCGGAAGGTCCCCGGTTCGATCCCGGGCGGAAACACTCTTTTTTAATTTTCGAAAAATTTTGAAAACAAATTTTATTTTTGTTAAAGGGGATTTTGCACTCTTTTAAAAATAAATAAGGCTCTGTAAATCTAAACTATGCTTATTATTATGAAAACAATTGAATAATAAATCAAATGAAGAAAATTACCCTTTAAAATTTTATGATGTTTCAGATCCGATAATGTACCCGTTCTCGAATATCCCCGGCGACAAAACGTTCTGTGTATCTCCAGACAAAATGGCGATAGCGTTCTGTATTCTTGGCCTAATCTTTTTAATTGCCGTCGTTGTAACGGCGGTCTCTCTTTTGCGATCGAAGAGACAGGGCAGTAATGCGGCTTACTACACCAGAAGCCTGTTTTCGAGTAGCAGCGGAGGATCGGCCTTTGGAAGTAAATTACTGCTGCACGACAGCCCTTGCCTTGGACAATCGGCTTCTACTTCAAGGGGGATGCAATATGGAAGAATTTTGTGAGTGTGGTCACAACCGCCGAGAAACCAGTTTCACCTAAAATGCGATAGTTGTTCGAGTATGTGCCTAAGGCTTTTCCTTACTGTTCATAATTATCGGCCAATTAATATTTAAATTTGATTCGAGGAAAAATTCAAATTCGACTGAAGATGTAAGCTAAGAAATTGGTCGTTTACATACAGGGTGTTTCATAAAGTTTTTGCCAAATCGAAACAGGAGATAGTGAATGTAATTAAGCAATATATGTTCTATTAATATGTATGGATTGATTATAATACATTTTCTATACATAATACCAATTAAAAAAAAAATTAGTAGCTAATGAAAAAGTATATAATATGTACTTTATCTTACACCAAGGATTTTAGCACCATATTTTTTTTATACATAAATTTGCAATAGCGGTTCACTTTTGCGGACTTATATTGATAGGAATTTTTTTGCTGAAAATGGCATTTACTATATTCTACTACAGTTTGGTACCATATTTTAGAGATACCCTGTATTGTAATAGATTTGTGATAATTCTAAAAAATCATAAACTCGATCGATATTGATGAAGCTAATGTATTATAATAATGGGTCTGTACTTCTTGTGAACCCACAGTTATTAGACAGAAATTATTTAGCAAAGCAAAAATACGTGAATTCAACTGTACTCAAAAATTATTTACACAACGAAACTGATGATACTTTACTTGATTTGACTATACTACTTGACTTCGATCGGAGTCTAGCGAAAAAGTTTTTGCAACCTTCAATAATTAAAACTTTTGCAAAAATCAATTGCATGAAGGTAGAAGAAAACATACCTATTTGTATGTGTAATTTTCTTTATCCATAAAAGACTGAATAATACTCAAAAGGCACTTTAGAGCGACACCTTTTTTTGAAATTCTGATAATTTAAAGAAATAGGTTACAGGATTGTTACTATATGATTCAATTTCACTTGTAAAACAACAACTCTATTCTTATTCACTTGCATGTCATTATGCCAATCCAAGAATAAATCGTCTTTTTGCCAAGTTATAAGAATCGTTCATTTTCTCTATTCTTGTAAAATAATCTCGAAGTAATATAATTTGAATACGCACTATTTGAATTTAGTGCTACTCGAAATATTTCTATCGTGTATTAAATTAAAAAAAAAGTGTTAATCTAAAGTGACCTAATATATTTTTAAAGAGCCTAGTGAAAACTAAATGCAAGTAAATAAAACAGTTTATACCCACATGAAAACATGTACCCTTTTTAAAGCATTACATTTTAATTTTGTGAAAATTTTTTCAATATATTTTGCATGCATTGAGAATTTACGAAAGTATTTCTGCTAGGGGCACTTTAAAAATATATCGACATTAATTATATATATTTTTAACTTAAAGTAACCGAAATTATTTTAAATAACTGTTACTGTTACTGGGGAAGGTACAAGGGGGTGATGGTAGATGTTTAATATTTTTATTAAGTATATCTACAATGAGGTATATTTTAATAAATTGATAAGAATATTAGACATTTTTTTATATTTTGTAGGCGTTGTGATATGGATATTATTTTTTTTAAATAAACGTTTTATAAATACATCTAATTTTATTTTTCATGCATTCATTTTTTAATTTTACAAGCATTCTAATGAGTTATAAACAATATGCGAACACGTAGCAACAGCCCCTGTGGCCTAATGGATAAGGCATCGGCCTCCTAAGCCGGGGACTGTGGGTTCGAGTCCCACCAGGGGTACATTTTTTTTAATCCGGTACACTTTCTTTTCCATTCCTACGACGGATATTTTATTTCTTGATTCTACAAGTATGAAATTTTTATATCTAAAGTACATTCAGGAATTTAAAAAAATGGATTGGCACAAGAAAGTTAAATTTCTTAGTAGAACATATTATTTCCTCATTAAATAAGTATTTAATATCGATTGTGGGCAGGTTAGCATCAATGAATGAAGGTATTGTATTTAGATTTGTGATAGTTTTCATTTTAATATCTTATTTAATTAATTAAGTTCATAATCTCGTTCGTAGCTATGCCACACAGAATATTTATGCTTTTTATGTATATATTGTGGAACACGGGCGTTGCAATGTATATTTTGGTATAAAAGCTTATAAGAATGACCAATCAACAACAATCATTGAATCATAAAGAGAGTAAAAATTATATGTTTTCCTAAAATTATAAGATTTTGTAAATAAATTAACTCAGGGCTGGATTAACCTTTGGTTAGAACCGGGGCTACAAGCTCTACGCAGGCCCTCTTTTTTTTAAAAAAAAGCGATAAGTATTCAACAGGTTTTTCTTTGATTCTAAAAAAAGGCCACGCAATTAGCAACTTGTCGATATAAAATTTCAAAACCTAAGCACTTTTTGGTTTGATTCTAAATTGATTCTAAAAAAAAATTGCCAGATCTTGCCAAAGCCTCCCGATCTCGTTTGGCCGGGGCTAATCCTCCCTTAATCCGGCCCTGAATTAACTGCAATGTTGTTGATATTTAATTATGTATGTATGTTGTAAAAACAAGGGCAGGATGATAACAATATTCAACAACGAGAAACATTACAAGTTTTCTACGTAAGCCAAGGTCCAAGAATTGAGTAGATTGTCAACCGTGTTATATTGTTCAACTGATAAATGGTTAATAAAGCTATGCAAAGTCCTACTCTTGGAAATCATCCAAGAAAATCGTGATACCAGGTGTATTAAAATCTCACACAATAATAAAATTATCGTAATTACAAATGCATTGTGCAAATTGATCAAAAACATCTCAAACACATGAATATAATTGAATATGTATAATGAGTAATGAATATAGAATACAAATAAATAAAAGATACACTGATGAAAGTAGTACTTGGCACCAACAATGTCAACTGTACCAAAACTTGTCCTAAATTCAGAAAAATCAATAGCCGTTGTAGAAATATTAGTTTTACTAACAATTAGAACTCCACTACTTCATGAACTCCATTAGAACTCCAAAAAGTTAAAGTTGTCAGGGAATAGCTCAACACTAGATATACCAGTAGTCAACTAATGTTTCGGTTAAGCAAAGTGAGATTAGCATGTCTAATTTAGTGTTTAGGTTCTAGCATTTCGAATAACGAAAATTCAAGTTTACTGCACAGTTGAACTGTTTTAGTTTAAAGAGATGATTTCAGGGAATTTTTAAGTTTATCCTTAATTCCGATTTAACTTTATATATAATTTAATTGTTTGTGTATACAATCAAAAGAAACATAAAATTGTTAAAGCTAACTACTGCCGGATTTAGCTACTTTATATTTACGAATTACATCACGAAGCAACACTTCTTTCTTCAACACTGATGGAACGAGGTTTTTCCTTTGAAGCATCACATTTTTTCAGGCGTAATACTTTAAATTCTTTGGAGAGTTTCATAGTTGGATAAATTAGCCTGAGTAAATTAGAGATTTTAATTTCCTCGTTATTAAGTCTAGAAATTTTATCTGGTCGGGAATTTTCCTCAGAAACTCTAAGGAATATGACGTTAGATTTTTTTAATTGATTCTCTTCAAATTCCTGCAGAAACTCATTGAAGCTAACTCAGAAAATTCGGATTGTAGCTTGAAAAAACAGCCTTAGGTCATTAATATTTTGTCCTAAAACACAACAACTGGAACAATTCCAACTCAAACCTCTTTCCTTCTCATGTATTTTGCTACTTCAGAAAAGCTTAGGCCAACACAACTATGGTATAAACTCAAGTACAGCAAGCAAAGTACATCAAGATACCTCTGGACAGCACAATTACAACAATAGTATATAACTATATAGCATCAGACATGATAAGAATAGTTTAGAATGTCATGCTATGATCTAAAATTAAGTTACTATTATTTGATTCTAGGACTAGGATATTGCAAAAACTGTTGGAGACGTAGTTGAAGATATTGAAGATGCATTGTAACAATTAATAAATGTAATATTATCCAGAACAAAACCAAAGTAGAAAGGTTAAACACAAAAGCAGCGCACACACACAACCGATGGACAAATAGATTATTTTATCATTGTATCATTAAAAATGATCAACATGTTGGCTAGATAGCACTCAGTCAATTTATGGGAGCAGAAATGGTTATGGTTATGCTATTTAACATGATCCAATGATAATTGGATCGAAGTTCAATAAACGGAAGAATGGCGGATATATCAGGTTTCTTATAAAAGTCCATGGACCGACACAAACAGCAATATCAGTATGGTTGGTAAAAACAACATAAGGATTGTCGAGCAGGCTGGAAGACGAGAACACAAATACCTACCCAAGGACATTTCTGTCACCTCATGATATGAGTTTTAAATTGTTTTAAATTTGACTACTAGTGGCTTGTATAATGGGTCACAAGACCTGATCTCATGAAAAGTTTGCTATTCTTTTATTTTTGCTGGGAAATATTAGTTATTCCACGTACTACAAAATTATTTAATATCTTCAATTGCCATATAACTGGTTGCATCTTCAATGTGCAAATTTTACTAATGCAAATATCTCTTTGTTTTCCGTTACATATTATAAAGTAAGTATTGAATATCATAGTACCGTATTCCTATGACCAATAAAAAGAAGTATTTAATTATCGTTTAATCCCATTTAAGTATAAGGAGTTCTCACCCAGACCCCGTTCTATAATTTTAGCTTCTAATTTGCATTGAAATGACTTGCGAGACATGGTTCATTAACTCCAAAATTCCCAGAGCGCAACAATGAAAACCTCAGCGCGATTTCCTGTGACTTTGATGATCAATTGAAATAATTATTGATAAGTAATCTTCTCAAGAATTGGAGGAAACGGCACATCAGTTATTAAATTTTGTATCTCTGTAGAAGGTCGTACGGAGCTAATTGTAATAATTATAAATTTAAATTTTTACCTTCGGTTGTATCGTATAATTTGATTTATTACTGGATTTAGATAGTTTACCTGAAGGGTATCAATTGTGGGAACTTATTTATTTTTTAA